AAATGATCTCAATAAGGTCACAGAATACAAAATCAGCATCAGAAACCCACTGCATTTTTCTATACACTTATAATGGAAGTAACAGAAAGAGAAATTAAGAAAATAATCACATTTACAATTGCACCAAAAAGAATAAAATAGCAATGAGGTGGAACACTTGTACTGTGAAAACTATAAAATGCTGGTAAAAGAAAAAAAAAACTGAAAACAATACAAATGGAAATATATACTATGTTCATGGACTGAGAAAAATTGTTAAAATGCCCATACTACCCAAAGCAGTCTATTGATTTAATGTAATCCCTATCAAAATACCAACAGTAATTCAGAATTAGAATAATCCTAAATTGTATGGAACAACTCAAATCCTGAGTAACCAAAGCAATAAAAAAGAAAAACAAAACTGGAGGTATAACAATCCCAGATTTCAAGTTTTATTACAAAGCTGTAGTACACAAAACAATAGGATACTGGCACAGAAATACTTAGATCAATGAACACATTAGAAAGTCCAGAAATCAACCCACAATTATACAGTCAATTAATCTTCAACAAAGGGGGCAAGAATATGCAATGGGAAAAAGACAGTCTCTTCAACAAATGGTATTGGGAAAACTGGACAGCTATATGCCAAAAAATGAAACTGGACCACTTTCACCACACACAAAAAATGAACTCAAAATGGATTAAAGACCTAAATGTAAGACCTGATACCATTAGGGGTGCCTGGGTGGCTCAGTCAGTTAAGTGTCTGAGCCTTGATTTTGGCTCAGATCATGATCTCACAGGTTCATGGGATCAAGCCCCACATCTGGCTCTAGGATTCTCTCTCACTCTCTCTCTCTCTCTCTGGCCCACCCTGATTATGCTCTCTCAAAATAAATAAAACATTAAAAAAAAAAAAGACCTAAAACCATTTAAGTCCTAGAAGAGGGGGCACCTGGGTGGCTCAGTCAGTTAAGTGTCCAACTTTGGCTCAGGTCATGATTTCACAGTTTGTGATTTCGAGCCCCATGTCAGGCCCTGTGCTTACAGCCAGAGTCTGGAGGGTTCTGTGTCTCCCTCTCTCTCTGCCCCTCCCTGCTCACCACTAAATAATGAATAAACATTAAGAAATATATAAAAAATAATAATAAAGTCCTAGAAGAGAGCACAGGCAGTAATTTCTCTGATAATGACCATAGCAACATTCTTCTAGATAGGTCTCCTAAGGGAAACAAAAGCAAAAATAAACTATTGGGACTTCATCAAAATAAAAAAGTTTCTGCAGAGTGAAAGAAACAAATCAATGAAACTATAAACAACCTACTGAATGAGAGAAAATATTTGCAAATAACGTATCTGATAAAGGGTTAGTGCCCAAAATATATAAAGAACTGATATAGCTCAACATCCCAAAAACAAATAATCCAATCAAAAACTGGGCAGAAGACATGAACAGATATTTCTCTAAAGAAGACATCCTTAGCCAACAGGCACATGAAAAGATGCTCAACATCACTTATCATCATGGAACTGCAAATCAAAACCATAATGATATACCACCTCACACCTGTGAGGTGGCAAAAATCAAAAACACAACAATAAGTGTTGGCAAGGACACAAAGAGAAAAGAACCTTCATGCACCACTGGTGGAAATGCAAACTTGTGCAGCCGCTGTGGAAGACAGTATGGAGGTTCTTCAAAAAAAATTAAAAACAAAATTACCCTATGATCCAGTAATCGCTCTGCTGGGTATTTACCCGAAGAATACAAAACACTAATTCTAATTCCAAGGGATATATGCACCCCTATGTTTACTGGAGCATTATTTACAATAGCCATATTAGAGAAGCAACCCAAGTGTCCATCAATAGATGAACGGATAAAAGTGATACACACACACACACACACACAGGAATATTACTCAGCCATAAAAAAAGAATAAAATCTTGCCATTTGCAACAACATGGATGGAACTAGAGTATAATGCTAAGTGGAAGAAGTCAGAGAAAGATAACTACCATGTGATTTCACTCATATGTGGAGCTTAAGAAACAAAACAAACGCAGGGTGCCTGGGTGACTCAGTCAGTTAAGTGTCTGACTTCAGCTCAGGTCATGATCTTGCGGTTCATGAGTTCAAGCCCCGTGTTGGGTTCTGTGCTGAGAGCTCAGAGCCTGTAGCCTGCTTCAGATCCTGTGTCTCCCTGTCTCTCTGTCCCTCCTCCACTCATCTCTGTCTCTCTCTCTCTCTCTCTCTCAAAAATAAACTTAAAAAAAAAAAATGGGGGCGCATGGGTGGCTCAGTCGGTTAAGTGTCCGACTTCGACTCAGGTCATGATTTCATGCTCTGTGAGTTCCAGCCCCGCATCAGGCTCTGTGCTGACAGCTCAGAGCCTGGAGCCTGCTTCAGATTCTGTGTCTCCCTCTCTCTCTGGCCCTCCCCCATTCATGCTCTGTCTCTCTCGGTCTCAAAAATAAATAAACGTTAAAAAAAAATTTTTTTTTAATAAATAAATAAAAATGAACAAAAGAAAAAGACAAAAAAGACTCTTAAGTATACAGAACTGATGGTTACCAGAAAGGAGCTGGGGGAGGCAGATGGGTGAAATAGGTGAAAGGGATTAAGAGTTCACTTATTGTGGGGTAGCTGGGTGGTTCAACTCAGTTAAGTGTCTGACTTTGGCTCAGGTCATGATCTCATGGTTCATGAGTTCGAGCCCCACATAGGGCTTTCTGCTGTCAAGGCAGAGCCCGCTTCAGATCCTCTGCCCCCCTGTCTCCACCCCCACCCCCACCACTTGCACTTTTACTCTCTCTCAGAATAAATAAACTTAAAAAAAAAGTTCACTTATCAGTAAGGAGCACTGAGTAATGTATGGCACTGTTAAATCACTACATTATACACCTGAAACTAATACTGTTGTTAATTTTACTGGAATTCAAAAAGTCACTGAATTACATGCTTACATTCTTCTCAGACTTTTGGCTAAGATCAAGTGTAGTATCTGTTCTTTTCAGAGTTACATTCTTACAATGGATGGATTTTAGGGTTTGTAAATTATACCTCTTATAAAACTTCCAAAAAAATGTTAAGGTCATAGAGGAAAAAGAAAAACTGTCCCAAATTAAAAAATTTTTTTAACGTTTATTTATTTTTGAGGCAGAGACAGAGAATGAACGGGGGAGGGTCAGAGAGAAAGAGGGAGACACAGAATCCGAAACAGGCTCCAGGCTCTGAACAGTCAGCACAGAGCCCGACGCAGGGCTCAAACTCATGACCGTGAGATCATGACCTGAGCTGAAGTCAGATGCTTAACCGACTGAGCCACCCAGGCGCCCCTAAAACTGTCCCAAATTAAAGGAAATTAAATAGGTAAGACAACTAAATACAGTACTTAATCCTGGACTGGATGGGGCATAGGGGTACAGGGGAACAGCTACCAAAGGCTTTATTAGGATCACTTGATGAAATCTGAATTGCCATAGATAAAAATATTGATGAATTCATATTAAATTTCCTGATTTCTATTACTGTACTCGTTTTATCACAGAATGTCCTTGTTCTCAGGAAACACACAATGAAGGATTTAAGGGCTAAAGGAGGTACAATCTCCAGTTTATTCTCAAATGTTTCAGAGAGAAATATAACCTGCAAATATATACTTATGGAGAGAAATGATAGAGCAAATGGGCAAAATGTAAACAAGTGGTGAATCTGGGTAAAGGACATACAGGGAGTTCCTTGAACTGTTTTTGCATTTTTTATGTAAAATTTGAAATTTTATCAAAATTACAAAAAAAATTTTAAACAGTACAGTAGCAGGAAGTGGCTGGAGGTGTAGAAATGACAAGCAGCATTAGTAAATAATTTATTAAAGTCACTGAAGCCTATCTCCTGAAAAGAAAACACAACACAACCTGCAGCCTATACTCACAAAGATGGGTTAGACTAGGAGATATTCTAAAACCCTGATAACCTCTAAAATGTGGGGATTTACTGCCACTTCTCTTATGGCCATGCTTTCTTTCCTTCATTTCCAACACAGGCATGACTACCAGGTTAGGGGGCAAAGGAGATTTTCCAGGCCTAAACTGTTCTGACTATGCCACCCAAAGTGCTAATTCTCCCCAGTAGGTTATTCCTAGAGCTCAAGATTAAAGATTAAAAAGTAGGTTCACAAAGTGGCTTCTCAACGAACATGTGTATTCCCACAACTAGCAGAGCAGCTTACACAAATACACATTTTTCTGATGGATCACAAAGGGCAGTAGCCAGGGATAAAACATTCATAAGCCTGCAGGCCAGGGAGATGACAAGAACAGCTGGCCTGATTAGAAACAATGTCTGCCTGTCTCTTTCCTGCCTTCTCCCTATTTCCTCCCCTCCCCAGAAATACAGACCTCTCCCTTTCCTCAAGTTTCCATCTGGCAGTATCTCTCTCCCTTACCCCAACCTCCTTTACCTTCTTATAAAATACTTCCTACTTCAAGTAATACATCTAATCTACTTTTGTGTTTTTCATTTCTTTCTTTGTAATTTTAGTTTGTAAGTAAGCAGAAAGATCTGATATACTGTTCATCAAATGTTTCCGAATAGTGGGATTTGGCTGATTTTTCTTCTTTGTACTACAACTTGAACTTCATATGATGATATTGTGTTTTAAACAAAATAAAATACTACTTATTTTTTTAATTCCTAATTCTAGTAAATCAATTCATTTTAAACTTTCATAATATTCCATGTCCCTTGCTTTTGAGAAAAATAATTAGGTGATTTCCCCTATAAGTGATCTTTAATTTTGTTTTCCCCTAAGAGTTGCCCTCTGTGATAAAAAAAAAAGTAAACCCTCTCCACCTACTCTCTTGCTTTTTGTACACCTTCCATGCCTTCCCCAGTGACACAGGAAGAAGCCACAGAACAGACACAAGGTAGATAACAAGGAATAGGGATGGGAAAGCTCTAACCAGGGCACAGCTTAGAAATTAAGCCTTGTATTATTTTATTCTGTAAATACTATTAACAGGTTTCTTACCAGAAAAATGTCTGCATAGCCAGCCAAAGACTCTACTCCCTCTTGGATCCGTGCTCCCCCAGAGTCATTCAGTCCAATCACTGGAGCCCCCACTGTCATGGCCTGGTCCATGATCTGAGACAGCAAAGCAATCTTTTATGAGACAACTGATCCTTTTATCAAAAACAATTTATAAAGTACCATGGTGTTTTCTGGAAAATGTTCCAAGTGCACTTTTCTTTTTAAATGCTCACTCATTCTGAGAGAGAGAGAGAGAGAGAGAGAGAGAGGAGAGCATGTGCATGTGAATAGGGAGAGGGGCAGAGAGAAGAGAAGAGAGAGAATCCCAAGTAGGCTCCACACTGTCAGCACAGAGCACGATGCAGGACTCAATCTCATGAGCCATGAGATCATGACCTGAGCCGCAATCAAGAGTTGGATGTTTAACCAAGTGAGCCATTTGGGTGCCCCTAATTACACTTCTCAAAACAGGAATCATTAACACTGGCTTCATTCCCCACGATGATTAGGTACCTCCATGGAAAACAGAACCAAAATTTTAAGGGCTGATTAAAGCCCTTCAGGCATCCAAGAGCCAAAGCACTTCCCACCAGCAGGGGATAAGACTGCTCATAGCAACCATTTCTGAGCCACAGGCCCAGGCTATATTTTCCAGTATCCAGTTTTGTTCCCAACTTTTTTTTTTTCAAGCAGGTTCCATGCCCAACGTAGGGATTGGGCATGGCCTTGAGAACTCATGACCTTGAGATCAAGAGTCACATGTTCTACTGGCTGAGCCAGTCAGGCGTCACCACCTACCCCCGCCCCCCTTACTCTTTTGGAAAGAACTGACACTAAACACAATAACAAAATAGTATTTTTATGAAAGTACATGTAGATCCATCTGTTAACCAGAGCCAGGCCCAAGCCTGATTTCACTTGTAATAAGGCATATTTTCCTCATGGGCCACTAGTTGAGGGCTTAATAAGCAACATTCCTAAGAACCCTTTTCAGTTCGCAAAGTACTTCCACTTCCATTATCTCATTCAACCTGATAACAGACGCAGTGAAAAGAAAAATTAGAGAGGATTAAAAGTTAAGTGATTGGCCCAAGGTTTCAGAAATAATACATGACAAGATCACATCTAGAATCCAGGTTTTCCATTACACAGGGAAGCACTGCTTGACTATTAACAGTCAACGGTACCTTTAATTCCACATTTCTCCAAGTATGATCTATACTTTTATTCATCTCCAGAGCATCTCATCACTAGCAGTGGAGGTTTTTTAGGTTTTTTTTTTAATTTTTTTTACATTGATTTATTTTTGAGAAAGAGTGAGACAAAGCATGAGCAGGGGAGGGGCAGAGAGAGAAGGAGACACAGAATCTGAAGCAGGCTCCAGGCTCTGAGCAAGTGGTCAGCATAGAGCCTGATGCGGGGCCCGAACCCACAAACTGTGAGATCATGACCTGAGCCGAAGTTGGACACTCAACAGACTGAGCCACCCAGGTGCCCCAGCAGTGTTTTTTAAAATGCCATCATGTAATCCTTGCACTGTTCTTTATCTTTTAGTACCTGGATTCTCCACCTAGATCATGGGCTCTTTACCTGGAGTCTTCAGAATCCCAAGGGGTCTGTAATAGATTTCATCCATGCATTGCTTGGATGGGAAAAAATTTACTCTTTACCTTTATTAACTCTAGCTGATCTTTACCATACCTTTTAATTATGAACACAGGAAACAAAATCATTATTTTATGAGAAATACCTGTGACTTTATATTAAAAGAAGCCATGGATATTTTTATGTCACACTAAAGTTGCAGGTATCTTGAAGTAGCATTTTCTTTTTTTTTTTTTAATTTTAACGTTTATTTTTGAGACAGAGAGAGACAGAGCATGAACGGGGGAGGGTCAGAGAGGGAGACACAGAATCTGAAACAGGCCCCAGGCTCTGAGCTGTCAGCACAGAGCCCGATGCGGGGCTTGAACCCACAGACTGCGAGATCATGACCCAAGCCAAAGTCGGACACTCAACCGACTGAGCCACCCAGGCGCCCCTTGAAGTAGCATTTTCACTCATGCCTACTTTGAAACTATAGAGGTTTAAATGCACAGCTAAATCTTGTTATTTGATAAATTTGAAAGCACACAGATTACAAATAGGAGTGCCTGGGTGGCTCAGTTGATTAAGCATCCAAGCCTTGATTTCAGCTCAGGTCATGATCTCACAGTTGGGGAGATCAAGCCCCATGTCAGGCTCTGTGCAGACAGTGCAGAGCCTGCTTGGGATTTTCTTTCTTTCTCTCTCTCTCTCTCTCTCTCTCTCTCCCCCTCCCTCCCTCTCAAAATAAACAAACATAAAAAGCATGAATATTACAATTGTAATTTTTTTTAATATTTTTTTAATTCTCTGTAATCCTACACATCTTATGCATGTAAATCATTACCAGATTGCCAAAGGGATCCATGATACAAAAAATCTGAAGAATTCCTGCCTTGGACTAAAGGGATGTTTGGGTCTGCACCCACCCCACATACACAGCTCATTGTCTTGCACCCCTTATTTAATATGAACTATGTGACTGATGAAAGTACTGGGTTTTCAAGATTAAATACTTACTTTGCAGATCTTTTGGGCATGTGCCCCAGACAGACTACCTCCAAAAACTGTAAAATCCTAAAAAGAAAACAAATCAACAAATAAAATATAGTCACTAGCCAGGAATGAAAAGCCAGGAGGAAGACGAAATGAAAAACTCTTAGTCAAAAGTTTCTGAAGGATTTTCAGGAGTTCAAAAAATTAGGAATGGTCTTTTATTCACTATTCTATGGAGTAATTTGTACCTTAGAGGGAATTCATGTATTGTCAACAGCAAAAGACTTAGTCTTTGCTCTACAAAAATGAATCCTAGCTCTCTAAGGAAAACTTTTCGTGCAGAATTAACCTGAAAAATCAGATTCTATAGATGTCAGGCAGGCATTTCTATTACTAGAAATATTTGCCATTCTGGGGCGCCTGGGTAGCTCTGTCAGTTGGGCGTTCGACTTCGGCTCAGGTCATGATCTCATGGTCCGTGAGTTTGAGCCCCACGTCGGGCTCTGTGCTGACAGCTCAGAGCCTGGAGCCTGTTTCAGATTCTGTGTCTCCCTCTCTCTGACCCTCCCCCATTCATGCTCTGTCTCCCTCTGTCTCAAAAATAAATAAACGTTAAAAAAAAGAAAAAAGAAAAAGAAATATTTGCCATTTTGACAAGAGGTTAAAAAAAAAAAGACAATCAGAGCCCTCACGGCTTCCTCTTGCTTATGGAATTTCATTACCTTCTGATATAAAGGGCTTCTTGTGGGAAGGACCTCCTTTCTAAAACCACCTCAAAAAGCAAGTAATTAAAAACAGAGTCAGCCAGGAGGACAAAAAAGGAAGAGGAAACAATGGCAGAGGAGAGAGTGAACAACAATCTCAGGGGAACTGAAAGCACAAAAAGAATATCTGACTTGGAGCAAATGGAAGCCTATATACTGCAGGGGGAGTAACCACAAGGATGGAACAACCCAGGAACTATAGGAAGTGGGGGGGGGGGCCGGGGAACAGACTGATAAAAACTCTGGGTTAGGAGCAGTTGGACCCCACAGGGCCTCTCCTTCACCTTGAGAAGAGGAAACATTTATTCTCTAAAGCAATTTCACCAGAAGGACTCTGGATTCACAATCACCAGTGGCAAAAGAAAGCAAAGGTGAGGCTAAAAACATCTGAGATTAGGAACCTATACAAGAATAGATTGTCCTCCCCCAGAACATACCTATGAACAATTATCAGTCAAGAGACTAGGGCTGCTTCTTCAGAAAAGCAGAAGATCCCCAGAAAAAACAACTGCAGATATTAACATTTTGGGGATCAGTACAAAAAACTGGCTCATCACTCCCTACCCTAAGTATCCTTCAGGGCTTATTTCAAATGCCCCATTTTCCCTAAAGCATTCCTCAAGGCTGAATGTGATCGTCCACTGTCCTGGGCCCACAGCACTTACCCAGAATCACTCTTACCCTCATCTGTACAGAACTCCTGTTCTGCCCCAATGTATCTACAAAATGAGATTAGGTTCTTCAGGGCAGGAACTGTGGCTCAGTCATCTCCCTCTCCTCGCCCCCAATCCTCATCCTACCCTACCCCATGGGCATAAGAAGTAATCAAAAGTATCAATTCAATGAATTTTGTATTTGCTCAAAAGTTAGAAGGTTGAGTCCAGAAAGTACAATAACTTACTTTGTTCTAGCTATCTTATTAATAATTCCTTCTGTACATATTTTTGCATCTTTCTTTCTGTACAAGTTTTTGCCTAGCTCTCATAATTTCTTCTAGTTAAGTAGTTGGTAGACCCATTTATAACAGTTTTAAAACATGTCAAAGGTAATTCATTAAGTGAATGAGTACTAAGTACATTTAAAATTAACCAGTTATTTAATACTGAACCCATAATTTTAATATTTAACAAGCTTTATAATGTTAGATCTGTAAAAGGAACTAAGTATTTAGAATTATACATATTCTTCCACGTCTTGAGGTGGAGAGGGGTGGTAATCAAACCCAAAATAATATAGTGTTAGTTTACTATTAGCTGCTGTAACAATTACCACAAATTCAGTGGTTTAAAACAACACAAATTTATTCTCTTCACAGTTCTGTAATTTAGAAGTCTTACATGGGCCTCACTGAGCTACTCTCAAGGTTAGCATGATTAGATGTCTTTCTGGAGGCTCCAAGTGAGAATCTGTTTTCTTGCCTTTTCCCTGTTCTGGCGACCAAATGCATTCCTTTGCTCATGACCTCCTTCCTCCATCTTCTTAAACACCAATGGCAGGTGAAGCCCTTCTCAGCACATTCTTCCGACCTCCTCTTCTGCCTCTCCTTCTTTTAAGGACCCTTGTGATTATATGTGTCCACCTGGATAACCCAGCCTACTTTATTTTAAGGCCAGCTAATCAGTGACACTAATTCCATCTGCAGCTTAATTCCCCTTTGCCATGTAAGGTAATACAGTCACAGGTTTTGAGAATTAGGAGTTGGACATCTTTGGGAGCTATTCTGCCTACTATATTTTCCTATGGTTTCAGTGTGAAGAAACTGTATCCGTCCTTATGAAGCCTAACAAAACTTGTTTGAATAGTTTCATGAAGCCCAAAACTGAGGGGCCTATGTTCCTGAGACTCAAGTCCCTTCCACCCAGGCTGCATTCACAGCACTCTCTTAGGCCCACACATTGCCCAGGACATGGATGCCCTCCAGGCACACACCCAACCCACCAAGAAACATCTCATTCACTTAGAATAAACTCCTGGTTCCTAGGACTTTTTACATGATTACTGCCCTGTGATTATCCCTAAAACAGACTCAGGATTCTGAGAAAAACACATACTATGGTAGAATATTCTGGACACATGCACTGAAAAACAAAGTATATCCCTCTTCTGCCCCCACTACAGACAAGTTTTCATTCCTCAAGACTTTCTTCTCACATATTTGGTCCTGGCTCTGCCCTCCAGGAAAGCTCAGCCTATTCGAGTTATTAAATACCTGACTGAAGACATAAACCAATCTTCCATTGATTCGGCCCCGTCCAGTGACCACACTGTCTCCAGGAAACTACCAGAAAAACAGAAAAATAAAAGTTAAAAAAACCAAATACATCTTTTAATGAATTTGACAATTATGCCCGAATGAAAGAACAAAAAAATAAAATAACCCACCCTAAATTTCTTAAAATTCAATATGAATCAAGAACATGAAGGAATCTCCCCTTCCCCTTCTCAGCTCTGCAATAGCAAGCACTAGGCTACTGGTTCATCAACAGAAGTAACGGGCACTATAGTTAGGCTTCATCTTCCTTCTTAACAGTAAAATAATCAAGACTCCCCCTAGGGCCACTGCTACCAAATGCCACAGGAAGGAGAAGGGCATATAATGACACATGGCAACTCTAGAAAGCCACACACCCCACCTCCAAGCCTTAGGGAAAACCCATCATTTTGCTTGGAATCCTGGAATTCTGTGTAGCCCATAATGACTCAAACGGAGCCAGCTGATGCGATGCCAAGTTCACAAATCTTTGGTGAATAACAGCATATATACAGACCTGAGGAAAACTGATCAAAAGTGAATACAGAGAACTCTGCATACCCATGGAGAACATCCAACTAAAAAAAGTGTCAGTGACTCTGACTTTAAAAACTCCATAAAGTCAAAGTGTCAAAAGAGGCAAGTGGTCCTGCTTTAGGGGTCTCTGGTGCCTACATGGACCAGAACACAACCAAGACATTTTCGCCTTTCCTTCTAAGTTTGTCACTCCATAACTGCAAGAACTCTGAACCCACAACCAGAGACCTGGAAACTGGGCCATAGTCACACTGCACAAGGTATGAACAGTCCCATTCCATTCCTTCATCTGCAAAGGTAACTGGGGGAATCTGGAGGCCCAATAGTACTTCTTCAGAGGTACTCTTACAGTTTCAGGCCTCTAACTTGAAAACTATTAAATGTACCTTGAGCTCCAGATGGCCTTCATTATTAGGCTAATGAGTAGGTCAGCAGGGCCACGGCTAGACAGTGCAACTTAGAGGCTCACACCACCATTGTAAAAAGATACCTTATTCTTATCAGCAGCCATTCCAAAATCTGCACATCTGTGTTCCACAAACATGTCGCTCTCAACAAAACTGCCAGGGTCCAGCAAGAGGCTGATCCGCTCTCTGGCAGTCAGCTTTCCCTAAAATACAACAAAAACCATTCAGTCATGTCATCATAGAGGTCAGTAAGCAAGGAGTGCTTGTGAGTGGGCCACGAAGACAAGTTTTGCCCCTTTACCTCACATGAAAGCCTCTATTCCATCAACCCACCCAAAACACTGGTGTTATCACTAGATATCAGCCAGTAAGTAAATCAGGGCAGACAGGCTACTCCAGGAGCTACCAACTGTGGAGGGTAAATAAGGAAGTAGAAAGAGGAAAAGATGGAGAGAAGTGGGGGTAAGGAGAGCCTGACCCTGGAACAAGATAACTAGTTCCACAAACATTTACTGGAGACCTAAGGAGTAATAAAAAGAAGAATGGAAAAGTAGGAGGTGGAAAACTAAATCAGGCTTACTGAAGGGCCTAAGGCTACACCCCCACATTCACAAGTTTCTTCTAGGGAACCCCACACAAACTCACCTCACTAGTGTCCAACCCCAAAGACACTTTCAGGACTACTTCCTGGTTCTTCTGCCTCTTCCATGGCTTCTCCTACTATCCTACATTGGGGCTCGGCTTAGAAACCCCACACCTGACAGTGATACTATAATATGGCAACAACCCCACAGCAGGTAGTGCCTGAGATGAAAAGGAGTTAAACAGAGTGGTAAAGAGCTCATGTGAGAGGAGTGAAAAAATGCTTCTTGGAGATGAGGTTGGAACCTTCAACTTATCAAGAGCCTCTGTTGCTTGGACTCTCAAGCCCTTAGACTAAGCCAAACACCCAGGCCTACTGTCCACTGCCCTCTCTCCACCCCAGGGAAAAACCTCAAGTTTGGCTCTTTTTTTTCCCCCATAATAAAGCAGCCAAAGCCAGTGAGGTCCTTTTAAAACAGACAAACATATACACTGTTGTGTGGAGTAAGTTTTCCAGAAAGCAATTTAGCAACATATATTAGAGTGTTCAAAATATTCCTATCTTTTGACCCAGTGATTCCATTTCTGGAAATCTATCCTATGGAAGTCATCCAAAAATTGTTGAAAAGGGGGTGGAGTGGGGGATTTAAATCAAGTCAGCCTCCTAAGTCAGCTCTGGCAAAAGAAAAATAGCTTCTGGAGCCTGCATCAAAACCCAGTACGGTCCCCCTAGCAAAGAGGTGGGGTGATGTTCCAGGGAGAATTCAGCAACGGGCCCCAATACAAAGCGTGCACAGGAGCACTGCCAGGCCTTTCCAAAGTATGATGTAAAAATTCCTTCAACCCAGACAGAGCCACCCCAGGGGAGGAAGGGAAAGCACTCCTGGCACCACACACAACCAAATTTACATCTTGCTCCCAAGAGTTAAGAATTATTACTATCTTCTGTTTAGAATAAACTGACTCCTCAGGATTAAGTAACTTGTCAAAAAGGAATGGTCACCTTCATCCTCTTGTCAAATGGGGATTTCCATCTAAATCAACACCTAGAATTCAATCAAGAACTAGTTCGAATTTCCTCACTGAAGACCCCCAGCCTTCCACCCCAGTCACCACCCCCAGGCTTGACATGTGCCTCGGTGCCCTTCACCGCTAAGAATTTCACTTCTGCATCTTCCCGGTTATTTAACTCACCCAGCACAAAGGTCCAGTTTCACACACATATCAGTGACGCACCGCGTGAGCCTACTTCCAAGTCCCTGGTCACCCATCTGGGCCTCAGTTTCTCCTGCTGATAAATGGCCACCCACCTTATCTCTGAAGGCCAGCTGTAATTCTCGCCTCAAAAACCTCCCTGCCTCCGTCGCGCATCGTGCCTTTCCTACCCAGCATGTCTATGCATGCTGAGATCCTAAAGGCGTTCAGCCAGCATTGAGGAGGCAGAAGTTCCCACAAGATCCGGGAGCTCAACCCACCCCAGATTAATGTGAGAGTTTGCCCAAGTTACTTCCCCCACCATATGCTTTTATTTTCCTGCTACCATGATGGAGCAAGAACCGTATACTACCTACCACTCTTCCTCCGGGCATGAAAAGAACACGCAGAATTTTTGTTTTGTTTCGTTTTTTTATTAAGTGCCCGTCATCGCTTCTGTAGCTCTACCAATAAGATTGTGAGGGGGAAAATACTATTTTCTCCTTTCAATAAACTGACTCCTAGTGATTAACTGGTCCAAAAGTTTATAGAAGTTAAATGGTGAGTTGTCTGGGGCCGAGCAGCTGCGACTAAAAATCCAGAAGTAAAGGACAGGGCAATGAGGCACAAAGGTACTTATTCTCGTTTTACCTGCTATTTGGTGAAAGGCTACAGGTTGTCAGGGTGAACCTTCTCGTCCCCGCCCCTCCTCGGCATCGCGCGGATTGGCTGAAAGGACTGGGGCGCCGCGAGCCGGAAACTCTGTAATAGGTTGCGAACGCCAGGGGGATGGTCGGGTCTCCCTAGGACTCACTCGTTTATGCTGCGCGTCGATGCGACGCTGGCCTCCTCCCAGAAACGCGGCGTTGCGCTTGTTTTCGATGCGCTCGTTAACCGAGACGGGCTGGCTACACAGGCTGCGGACCGCACCGCGGAGACCGCCCACCACAACGCTGAGTCTTGATCCAGCCGTCACCACGCACATTGCCGCCGCCATCTTTGCTCCGCGGCGAGCTCCCAGCCGGTGCGCCTGAGTACGCTTCTGCGTCAAGCGTGGGTATCGGGTTCTGCGCCTGCGCAGCATGGGTGGGACGTAGAGAGCCTATGGGCTGGACGTCTCAGCGCGCTTAGAAGAAAAGCCTGAGAGTTCGAGACTCCATACCGCTCTGGGACATCATCCTGAGAAGGATAGTACTGTCCAAAGATCTGGTGCCTTCCTTGCTGCACAGAAGATGGACTTAATCCTTGCTCTTCTCTGGCTACCTTGACCTCGAATTTGGTCGTCCCACCACCTCCAGAAAATGAGTAGGTAATAGGAGCTAACCAACATGTATTAAACACTGCCAGGTGTGGCTTAAAGCACTCACGTGCATTAGCTTATTATCCTGATTTCACAGATGAGGCAAGTGAAGCACAGAGAGGTAGAGTGATTTGATTAAGAGCCAACACTAAAGATGTGGTGGAACCAGGATTCAGACACACAGACCAACTATGTGCCGCATATTGAGCACAGGTCACTTAACCTCTAGTGGGTAGTTCTCAAAATGTGAGCCCAGCAGTGGGAAAAAGTGGGAAATGCAGACTTTCAAGTTCTCATACTCCGCCCCAGACCAACTGAATTAAATTCTGAGGGAGCAGCCAGCAATCTGTTTCACCAGACGACCTCTAGGTGATTTTGACGCTTGCTAGATTTTGAGAACTACTCCTCTAGGAATTTAGAACTGAACTCTTAGGAGCTTGTCCATCTGTTTCCCCAGCTAACAAGCAGCTCTTTAAGGCAAAGTGTAAGGTGTCTATTTTGCATTCTTAGCTACAGAAAACTACTAAAATTGATCATTAAACTCTCCAAGCTCCAGCTCACAGCTAGAGCCTTCATAAAGTCCAAATTCTGGGTTGGGACTTTGATGTTAATTCAATTCAGCAAATCTTTTTGAGCACCTACTATGTGCCAAGAACCACCAGTGTTTTTCATATTTCCTGGAGTAGGAATTGTTCACCTAGCATGCAAGGAAGCTGAGGGTCCAAAGTCTGAGGTTGTGTGACTGGACAAAGCCTACCTGCATGTGCCTAACCCCATAGTAGATGTTGTTGGCCCGGCATCTGGGTCCCTGCTTTAAGAACCTCATCAACCTGGAGAGAGAGACAAAGGATCTGCCTGGTAGCACAGGGGAGAATTTGGGCAAGGCTGGATGTGTCAAGAAGAGTAGCTCTGAAATGTAACTGGATGTAGCATATTCAGATTCCCATATGGTTCTACCATCCACTTTTTGGGAATGGTGGTAAATGAGACTGCAAAGCAATAACAGAGTTAAAGTATGAAGAATTTTGCCATGTTCAGAAATTGGGAGTTCATTTGGGCTGGGGGCCATGAGACTCTTGTTCTAACGTGCTTTGCAGATCCCTCTCCAGTGGCACATCTCACACTGTGGTAAGATTGGTTAGCTCATTTCTCAGCTAGATTCCCAAGTCAGAGGGCATAAACTGTGGCTGGCTTGCTCACCACTGTAGCCCCTGCACCTAGAACAAGGCCCTGTACATAGGAAGCCTTCAGAATGTATTTGCAGAATTGAATTGAGCTAGCAGATAGGCAATTGCATGTGGCTCAAGAGGTTTTCTCCTACACCTATGCATCCTTCCAAGCCCTGCTCAGGTATCATCTCCTCAAAGCAGTACTCTGATCCCCCTTCTGCCTAGGTTAGGGAAAGTATCAGTCCCTCAGGAAAGCAAGGAAGTTTTTCTTATTTAACTTTGAATAACCAGTGCTTAGCAGAAAGCCCAGGAGGGATCCATAAATAACTGTTAGACTGAATCCAATTTTTCCCTCTCTCTCCACTTTCCCTTTCCCCTCCTCTCATTCTTCCTCCTCACTGTTTTAGTGCCCTACCATGGGTATTATATATACAGTCCTATAGATCTATACTGTTATTCTTTACCTCAGATGGAATTCCCAGCCTAGGATGGGTGGAGGTGGGGTAGAAGGAGGATTGAACTACCTGGTAATTACCCTCTGGAATCCTAGCATACTCCGGGCTGTTTTCCTGCCCCTAGTCCTCCTTGCTTGCATTATTTCTCCATTTTGAAACAGAAGTCACCCTGACCTAGCTGTTCTATCCTAGTCAGTGATCACTGTCAGTGAAGATGGGTGAAATGGAAGGAAGGAGTAAATTTGGAAAAGGTCATACATATTTGGGTGAGCGTGTTATCCAGATCTTCTGAGAAGCAGCTGCCAAGAAAGGAATTAAATGTGCAAGAAATCAATTAGGGGAACGACCTGTGAGAGAAAATGGGGCAGCAGCTGGGAGAGGCTGGGAGAACTATCAGATTGCAGTACAAGTCTGAACCCCAGCCAAGGAGAAAGGGAAGGAAAAAAGGTGATTAGGAGCTCCTTAGACTACTGTGCACGTTTAAGGAAAGTTCAGCAAGGCTGTCAAGGAGTCCTAGAGCCAAAATATTCCTGCCCGTGCTTGGCTGGTAGCAGCCCATGAGAGGTGTGGCCTCAGTACAAATGCAGCAATTAATTTCAGATCAATCAATTACTCTTAATGCAATCCAGGTGTCTTGTCACTTTAGCAAGTTTGAGGTGGTTGAAAGTAAAAGGGTGTGAGAGGAAATTTTGGAGAGGAGCTGCCATCCGTATGAGAAGAGAGGATTTTTAAGATGTTTCTTATGCCTTATGAATGTACTTCTCTCCTTAGTGTTTTATTTTTTAATGGAAAAAAAATGAAATGCTTTAGTTACTTTTTTTTTTCTAGACTGCGTGCCTTGGACTGCTAAGATTGGATCATAAGAACCCTGTCTTTAAATTTCAGTTAAAATTGTATTATTGGGCGTTTGGGTGGCTCAGTTGTTGGGGCATCCGACTTTGGCTCAGGTCATGATCTCACGGCTCTGGGTTCGAGCCCCACGTCAGGCTCTGTGTTGACAGCTCAGAGCCTGGAGCCTGCTTCGGATTCTGTGGCTCCCTCTCTCTCTGCCCCTCCCCCTCTCATGCTCTGTCTCTCTCTCCTTCAAAAATAAATAAACATTTAAATTTTTTTTTAAAGAAACTGTAATTATTCAGAACTGGAAACTGGTTTTCCCACACCACACACCAAAATCCTCATCTTTTCTGACTCCCTGAGCTCTGTGGGAAATGAGCAGAGCTCTTCTGTACCTTTTCCCAGAGGCACTTCCAGACCATTCTTCCACCATTTTTGAGCTGTTCTTTCTTTGAAGTTTTTGCCATCTGTTGGTGCCACCTTTCAGCATTTTCTGACCTCCATAACACACACCCCTCTCCCTTCTCCTGTGATTTCCACATAAGGCTCACTTTCCTCCTCTCTCCTGCTGTATTATTCAGGGGTCTCCAGAGAAAGAGAACCATTAGGATATATGTAGATATATATATGAATAGATTTATTGTAAGAATTGGCTCATGTTGTTATTGAGGCTAAGAAGTCATGCATTCTTCTATCTGAAAGATGGACCAGAGCAAGTAGGCAAGAAAAAAATAAATACGCAAGAGGCACCGAAATTGGAAAGAAAGAAATAAAACTGTCACTATTTGCAGATGACATGAAATTATATAGAGAAACCCCTAAAGACTCTAATGAAAAACATTAGAACTAATAAACTCAGCAAAGTTGCAGGATAAAAGCAATATGCAAACATCCACTGTGTTTCTATACACTAACAATGAGCTATCAGAAACTAAGAAAACAATCCCATTTACAATTGCATCAAAAGAATAAAATATCTGAAAATAATTTTTACCAAGATAAAGGACCTGTGTACTTCAAACTGTAAGAGGTTAATGTAAGGTTGGAGAAGACATAATAAGTGGACAGAGATTCCAAGCTCATGGGTTGGAAGAATTAATACTGTTAACGTGTCCATACTACCCAAAGCAGTATATAGATTCAATGCAATCTGTATCAAAATTCCAATGGCAGTTTTCATAGAAATACAATTAAAAAATATGAAATTTGTATAGAACCACAAAAAAACCCAAGTAGCCAAAGCACTCTTGAGAAAGAAGAAAAAAGCTGGAGGCATCACACTCCTTGATTTCAAACTATATTACAAAGTTATAGTAATCAAAACAGTATGGTATTGGAAGAAACACAGGGTGCCTAGAAGTAAACCCACACACATATGATCAATTAATTTATGACAAAGGATCCAAGAATATACAATGGTAAAAGGACAATGTCTTCAATAAATGGTGTTGGGAAAATTATACAGCCACATGCAAAAGAATGAAACTGGGACGACTACCAAATAGCATACACAAAAATTTACTAAAAATGGATTAAATACTTGAATATAAGACCCAAAAATCATAAAACTCCTAGGAAAAAAACATAAGCAGTAAGCTTTTGGCATAGGCCTTGGTGATGATTTTTTGATTTGATGCCAAATGGAAAGGCAACTAAAGCAAAAGTAAGTGGAACTACATCAAACTAAAAGTCTTCTGTGTGGCAAAGGACATCAACAAAATGAAAAAGCTACCCACTAAGTGGGAGAAAATATTTGCAAATCATACAGCTAATAAAAGGCTAATATTCAAAATATATCAAGAATTCATACAATTCAATAAAAAAAATCAATCTTATTTAAAAATGGGCAGAACCAGGTCACCTGGGTGGCTCAGTCAGTTGAGCATCCAACTCTTGATTTCAGCTCAGATCATGGTCCCAGGGTCATGGGATGGGGTCCCATGTCCAGCTCCATGCTGGGATTTCATCTACCCCTTTTTCTCTCTCCCTCCCTCTCTCTCTCTCAAATAAATAATTTAAAAATTGCCAAAAACATAAAATAAAAATAAAAATGGGCAGAAGATTTGAATAGACATTTTTCCAAAGAAGACAAACAGATAACTAAAAGGTATAAGAAAAGATGCTCAACATCACTAATTATCAGGGAAATGCAAATCAAAATCATAATGAGGTATCATCTCACACCTGTTAAAATGGTTAATTTCAAAAATATAAGAGGTAACAAGTGTTGGTAAGGATGGGAAATACCCTTGTGTACTGATGGTGGGAGGGTAATTTGGTGCA